TGTCTTCACGGCTTTCGTTCGGTTTTGGGTAAGTACCATGTGGGTATGGAACTGTGTTGGCTTCTTTTGCAAATTCTTGGCTAAAAAGGGGGGATAATGGTGTGTATTCATCTCGGCTGTGTGTTGGTCCTCACAATACACAACTAACATTCTGGTTGGTGTGGAGTTCATTCCTACAGTTGTTTTGCAAGGATGTTGGATGGGATGTTCTAACATCTTGTCTGAGTCTCAGGTTCTTCTCTGAGTTCTTCCTTTGTGCCTTGTGATCTGAGTTATGAAGCAGGTTGTGTCTTATGACTTGAGTTACATCCTTTATGTACTTTGTGTTATGTATAATACATCTGATTTTTCTTAAGCTCTTTCTGGATCTCCTTAAGGGTTTCTCTTATGCCCCTTAAGAGGAAAATTTATCTCTCCATGACAAGTAGAGGTTTGAGAGGGAGTGTGTTACATTCTCTTCCTCATGTACACCAACATGCAGCTAGGAATTTCAAGAGAAAGGGGGAGCCTCAGAAGTGTGTCAATCATATCCATCACTTCCTTGATGAAATTGAATGACGTTCAGAATTTATTTTTCTACCTAAGGAGTTTTAGCCAAAATTTGTCAAAAGAGGGAGATTAAAGGCTCTATAGGTTTGAGAAAATTTTGGTAAAACAAGATGTTGTGCAAGATGTTCCAACATAAAGAAGTCTGATGGTAGAAGACATGCCAGACAAGATGTCCTAGCTTATATCTCAATATCTTGACCTGATATAGCAGGTTGTTGCTAATCTGGTCCAAAATATAAGAAGTAATCAGAACCTGGATTAAGGAAGAAATAAATAGAAGATTTGAAGCCCAAGACTGCAGACGATTATAAAAGGAAGACCTAGACCTAGGGTAAAAACAAAGAATTCCTAGTAACACTTTTGTAAATGGAAATAAGGGTTTAGGGTTTTGGGAGTCGTAGGCTTTCTTGTGTTGTAAGTCTCCCTTTGTATTGGTTGGATACATTGTGGCAGACATAGATGTTTATACAGATTCAGAGACCTGTAGGTAATGAATTGTATATTGTTCTTGGATGAAGCTTTGAAGCAAATCCAACTAGGTTTGTTAGTCCAGGTTATTTGGCTGAACTTTATATTGAAAGAAGTGTCTTTCAAGTAGGATGATGCAGTTGTTGTCGATTGTAACTGCTAGATATCACAGGTAGTGATTCAGGAAGTGAGATGGGTTTCTCTTATCAATTAGATGTGACTTATAATGATAAAGTTTTCATTGGGTAGTGATAGGTAAAAAGGAGGTTGTTTACATAAAACTATACTACTGATAGTTGATTCTTCTTCCTGGCTTGGTAGCCCCCAGATATAGGTGAATTGCACCGAACTGGGTTAATATATCTTGTGCTATTTATCATTCTGCAAATTTACAATTCATTATTTGCTTATTGATTAACATGTTGTAACAGATGTTGAAACATTTGTCGTGATTTTGTTGCTGATACTCAGAATGTCATCTTGTTTATTCTGCCCTATTTTAAAGTTATGCGGAGAACAATATCGTGACATGTTGTTAGGACATCTGCAATCTGCTTGCTAGAATTTCACCATTTTTATAGCATATATCAAATACCCTTTGTGGTTAGATAATATGGTTTTGGTAAAGAATGCATCTAACAAGTGGCATATGTATGTGGACTTTACCGACCTCAATGTCACATACCTCAAAAACTCATATCCTCTCCCTAACATAGATCATTTGATTAATGGATCTTCGAGTTAAAAAATGTTGAGTTTCATGGAAGGTGAATTGCACCAATATGGGTTAACATATCTTGTGCTATTTATCATTATGCAAATTTACAGTTCAGTATTTGCTTATTGATTAACATGTTGTAACAGATGTTGAAACATTTGTCGTGATTCTGTTGTTGATACTCAGAATGTCATCTTGTTTATTTTGCCCTTGTTTTAAAGTTATGCAGAGAACAATATCGTGACATGTTGTTAGGACATCTGCAATCTGCTTGCCAGAATTTCACCATTTTTATAGCAGATATCAAATACCCTTTGTGGTTAGATAATATGGTTTGGTAAAGAATGCATCTAACAAGTGGCATATGTGTGTGGACTTCACCGACTTTAATGTCGCATACCTCAAAAATCCATATCCTCTTTGTTTACTTTCTCTCGCTAAAGGTTTAGTTGCAGTGCGTTCGAGAAAGTTGTTTTGCAAGTGAGAAAGTTTTTTATTTTGGAAAGGTAGATTTGTAAGTTCACCAAGGTAGTTTTGTTTTTACTTTGGTTGAAAAATTCGCCCATTTATGGATTATTTGTTTGCGTTTGAATCTAAATTCGTGAAAAGCTTTGGTTGAGGGATTGTGTGATCAAGTCTACATTTAGGTTCAAGCTCAGCCCGATGTTACAAGCTTGTTTTGGTTCAAGATCAACCTAGTGGTATAATCTCATAGGTTATTGGTTATCTCAGTATAAAACTAAGTTTCAATTCAAGAGCTCAACTCAGTATTAAAATGTCCAAGGTTCAAGGTCAACTCATGCCAAAATATTTGTTTGAAGTTTGAAGACTAATCACTCCAAGTTTCTTGTGAAAAGGAGACTAACCGATTTGATCCATCGTTTGGAAGGAAGACTCACTACTTCTCTCCCGTATTTACTGTTTATTTGGAGGTCAGCCACAAACTTTATTTTTCTTCTATATGGGGGTTCATAAGTTCAAACTACTAAAAGCTCTTAATTCTAAATTGAATACTCTCAAGATCAATTCTTGCGGACATGACTAAGTCGTTTTTTACCGAACATGTATAATTCCTGGTGTTATTCTCTCTTCCTTTAAATTGTTTATAATTTTTGCAATTTACCTTCTACAATTTTATTTTCCGTTGTATAAACTTTTCCAAAATGTTTTCAAATTGTGATTTTAATCCTAAATTTTTTTCAAAACCAAGTGTTTTTTAAACACACAATTCACCTCCCCCCCCCCCTCCCCCCCCCCCCCCCCCCCTCTTGCGTGTGAAGTCACATGTTCAACAAGTGGAATCAGAGTCTAACTCTTGTTTAAGGAATAATTGTCTCAAGAGGAAGATAACTACCAACAGACATCTAAAAGGAAGATCTTTTCTAAACTCACCACCATCTTTTAATAGTAGTAGATTTGAAATATGGAAAGCTAGGTTTTGAATTTTTATTCAAAGTATAAATCATGAATTATGGAAAATTATAGTAGAAAAATTTGATTCCTTAAACAACATGTTTGTTTATCCCTACTTACCAAGTAGTTGAAACTAACGTTTGATTTATGGCGCAAGCAGTTACTCCAATAGTTGTTAAAGTGTTTACACCATCAATCGTTGTTCAATTGATTATTCTTCTGCATTTGAAGACATATTAACAAACTTTCCACTCCTTGAGGCATAAACACTCAATGAATGAAACCATTTGTATGCTTGAAGAACGTAAAACAAAATAAAAGCACATACACTCTCTGCAAAAGTTTAATCTTTTGCACAAAAGTGGTTTCATCAGGTGTGTCAATTTGTTTAGTAATGTTTTTAGTAAACAATCATGAGTTTTAATTCACTTGTAGGATCATATTCAAAAATTCTAAGTGACACTTTGTGTAAAAGGTTTGAGAAAATGTAATTGTGCTTAAAGGATTTCTAATGAAAATAACAAAAGAAACATAGTAAAAGTACTTACATTTACAAAAGCAAGTGAGTAATTAAACAACAATAAAGCAATTGAAATACATGAATCGAAAATGGAATGCAAGTTCATACATTTATCAGAAACCCATTATCTCAGTGAATCAGATGTATGAATTCTAAAGAGAACAAAATGAATGTGACATCTGACTACAGAGTCAAAATTCGCTTATATACTAGGTATATTAACAACTGCTAACAACGACTAACTCTTAAAAATCCGACACATTTACTGCTACAATAACTTTCGTTTTCTGATTTATTTCCACGTGTTTTCGACACTTCAAAATGTCACTGCGGTAAAAAAATGTCTTTAAATCAATCAATCATATCCATAAAAAAAGTTAACATTTCGAGTTTGTGACTTGATACTAAAATATGACTTTGTCATTTACTCTTGAATTTTTATATATCTTATATCACACATTCCTATCTAAATGCTAAATTAAACTAAAAAGTCTCAAACATTGAACTGTGCTACTTATTATTTCAGAGATAACTTTCAAACATGTAAGTTTCCTTTTTTCCATTTATTCCAAAAGAACAAATCATTGTTGATTGATTAAGATGTATCCAAAAGATAACTTTGCCTAACATAGCAAAATGACTGCATTGCCTAAAAATCAACACACATTTTACATTTATTATCAACCAGTCAATCCATTTAATGGCTGTTTAGTGTGACATAAGTTTCAACGAAACTTAGGGAAGTTTAGAAATATCTTCTATGTTTACAAATACCTTAAGACAAATTATTCGATTACATCAATTATGTTATCATTAAACTTAAAGGAATCAAACTTCACCACTCATCTAGTTCCAACATGTCCAAGAATTCCTTCTATCTTGAGAAGTAAATTTTGCACAAGAGTTTAAAAAAAAATCATTGCTTCACTCACCTAACGTATTGGTCCAGAATTCTCATCACATTGTCATGCCTAGTCAATTCTTTCGGCTGATAATAAATTCACAACAATAATAACAATCTCATTTCACTTCAGTACTATGGTCATAACTCATAAATCCTTAGTCAACAATAGTATGAGAATATTCAACATTTGAACCTTATGAACGGAATCCACCCTGTAGATTCCTTTATTACAATAATAATAACAATATTGATTAATATTTAATATTTAGATACCTTCTTAGTTTGACTTACTACCCACTAGAGATAAGCCTCTAAGTTTCTGCTACAATTTCTAAGAATTTGATTGAATACTTAGGAAAACATATAGCTGCTGCATATGTATGAAGATAAATAATATGAAATAGCTTAGTCAAACAGTTCTTGCTTTCATGGATTCTTCATCACAGTGTCCACCCTTTGAATTTTCTAGCAAGTACTATCATGTGTCTGAAAATGGAGGTGGATGTGTGAGACAAACAAGTTTCTTTGAAGGCAAACCTCTTCTTAACCAAGGAGTTGGATATTCAATCATTCTTGGTTTTGGTGCTTTCTTTGCTCTCTTTACTTCTTTCTTGGTTAGTACTAACCACATGTTTTTCTCATAGTAGTGTATACTTTCATATACTTTAAGATCATGCTGAATTTACTTTTTATTGTTTTTTGTATCAAATCGTAATTATAGTTCTTTCGACCCTTTGACCGACTATAGGACTAATTGTCGATTTGAAAGACTTATTTGGTCGTCTCTACTGTCATAAGCACATATAAGACTATTTGAAAAAACTTATTAAAACAGCGTATGACATGTATATAAGTTGCTTTCGTCTTACTTACGTAAGTTCTAGGATAGCTTATGAAATTGGTTTAATGTGTGTTGCTAATTGAACCACATTCTGGTATGCTTGTGGAACAGGTATGGCTGGAGAAGAGGTATGTCGGGTCACGCCACACCTCTGAATGGTTCAATACAGCAGGAAGAAATGTTAAGACAGGACTCATTGCTAGTGTCATTGTGTCTCAGGTGATAGATTCAATACTAGTCTCTTCTTATTCAACGCGATTTACAAACCTCAAGTTTGATACATTTTCTTATCTCTTATCTTAACATAGAATTTATGCTTCTGCAGTGGACTTGGGCTGCTACAATCCTGCAAAGCTCTAATGTTGCTTGGGAGTATGGAGTTAGTGGACCTTTCTGGTATGCTAGTGGAGCCACCATCCAAGTATGTAAAGTTTCTTACAACTCAAGTTTTGATATATTCGAATTCGGACAATGGAAAATGAAATAAGATTTATACTTGACAACGATTAGGTGATGTTATTTGGAATTATGGCTATAGAGATTAAAAGAAAGGCTCCTTATGCTCATACCGTGTGCGAAATTGTCAAAGCTCGGTATGTTACTTTGTTAACACTGGCGTCTGATGATCATATGATTGAACAAGTCTGTGACACCTATTAGTGTAAAAGTGATTCCTTTTGTCATTCTAATGTGGTAACAATGTTTGATTACCTCAGATGGGGGACTTCAGCACACATCGTATTCCTCTTCTTCTGTTTCATGACGAATATAATCGTAACGGCGATGTTACTTCTTGGTGGTTCTGCTGTTGTAAATGCATTAACTGGAGTCAACATTTATGCTGCTAGCTTTCTAATACCACTTGGAGTAATTGTCTATACACTAGCTGGTGGATTAAAGGCCACATTCTTAGCAAGCTATATACATTCTGTCATAGGTACAATGCCTCAACTTTTAATCACTTTTTTTACCTGTATTAACTTTTTGCTTCATTCATGTATCATATTGTTAAACTGAGTGTATTTGTTTGTTTTCAATTTTCAGTGCACATTGTTTTGGTCATTTTTGTCTACCTTGTCTATACTTCTAGCAGTGAGCTTGGTAGTCCGAGTGTCGTTTACAATCGGTTGCTCGAGGTTGCGAGCAAATCGAGAGCATGTCAAGATCCAATATCACACCATGGACAATCTTGTGGTCCTGTTAGTGGCAATCACAAAGGCTCTTACTTAACAATGCTTAGTTCAGGTGGCTTAGTTTTTGGAATTATAAACATTGTTGGCAACTTTGGCACTGTGTTTGTCGACAATGTAAGCATGACTTTGATTTCGTCGAAATACTCTACATTAGTTACGATTTACTATTGATTGATTTTATCTTGAAATTTTTAGGGATATTGGGTGAGTGCTATTGCAGCAAGACCTTCATCAACTCATAAGGGCTACTTGTTGGGAGGCTTGGTCTGGTTTGCAGTGCCGTTTTCTTTGGCTACCGCACTTGGTTTGGGAGCACTAGCGCTTGATTTACCACTAAATGAAAGTGAAGCAGGTCGCGGACTTGTTCCCCCGGCTACTGCTGTAGCTTTGATGGGGAAAGGTGGATCAGTTCTTCTTCTTACCATGCTTTTTATGTAAGTTACAATCTACTTCCTGTTGAAAATACTCGACGCCTACAATTTTATGGACTAAATCGGCGATTCACTCATGAACAACAATTTTTTTACCAGGGCAGTGACTTCTGCTGGTTCATCAGAGCTAATTGCTGTATCCTCATTATGCACATATGATATTTATAGAACTTACATAAACCCTAATGCAAGTGGAAAGAAAATCCTCAAAGTATCAAGAGGAGTTGTCCTAGGATTTGGATGTTTCATGGGAATGTTAGCAGTTATACTAAACAAAGCAGGAGTTTCTTTAGGATGGATGTACCTTGCAATGGGAGTTTTGATTGGTTCAGCAGTTATTCCTATTGCTTTCATGCTTCTATGGAGAAAAGCAAATGCGATCGGAGCCATTTTAGGAACAATATTCGGTTGCGTTCTTGGAATAATCACATGGTTGTCTGTTACAAAAATAGAGTATGGAAAGATAAACCTCGATACAAGTGGAAGAAATGCACCAATGCTTGCTGGAAACCTTGTTTCTATATTAACCGGCGGAGGTGTTCATGCTGTATGTAGCATGTTGTGGCCTCAGAACTATGATTGGAGTACTACTAAGCAAATTACTGTGGTTGAAAAGGAAAAAACTGATTTGCCTGTGGAAGAGTTTAAAGAAGAAAAGTTAATAAAGGCTAAAGTATGGATTGTGAAGTGGGGTGTTGGTTTTACTGTTTTGATAGTTATACTATGGCCTATTCTATCCCTCCCAGCAGGTAATTTTGCATTGCATGTCGATATTATAAGCAAAGATTCTCTTTTCAAGTTCATTGAATAACTGATGTATCTGGTTTAGAGATACATTTTTTATTCAATGAACCTGAAAAGAAAATCTTTGATTATAACATGATCAGGGGGCTATATGAACATGATTTTCTCTTATAAATTCAATCTCAATGTGACAGAACTTGCAACTTAAGACCTTTTTGTTTGTTCATTATCACAGGGGAGTTCAGCAAAGGATACTTCTATTTTTGGGCAGTAATTGCTATAGGATGGGGAACTATAGGTTCTGCTGTGATAATTGCTTTACCAATTATAGAGAGCTGGGATACCATCCAAACTGTCATTCAAGGAATATTTACAAATGACAGACTCATGGAAAAGATGGATGAGTTAAATTTCAAGTTGCATACAATCATACAGTCAGTTCCAGAAGCTGAGAGACTTTACTTGCTTGGGAAGGAAAAAGCCAAAAAATCAGAAGCCTCAGAACAACAATCTTTTTCACTTCCTAACTAATATTTTAAGGGACCAAATTTGTATTAAAGTCGCAGCATTTCTAGTCCTTGAAATCCTCTTTCTCATACAATTATAGTGATTCTGTAAGTATTTTAAAACTACAAAACTTCACTAATTAATAAAATCAATGTGTTAGACTCCTTTAAAATAACCAACATATTTATGTTTTGATTAAAATTACCGTTGATATTTCTATATATAGAATAATCCATAATATTCCTTAGTCTAAAATAAAATATACAATAACCTACTCCTTACATAATTAATACGATAAAATATATATTTCACTGTATAATACAATTTTGCAGTGCTATTGCAAGTATAATACAATTTCGTAGTGCGAGACACGCAGTTTTATCCAAATGTCTTTCATTCTCTCTTATTTCAACATGGTATCGGAGTCATGGTTAAGCTCGGTGGAAAAACGAAAGTAGGATCCAAATATGGATCAAAGCTAGTGATGTGAGTGACTCGCACTTTTGGAGAGGTTGTTGGGATTCAAGTGAAAGTGGTTAAGTTTCACATCGACTAAAAATTACAAAAATGTTGGATATATAAGAGTGGTTTAGATTATCTCACAGTCGCTCGTTTAGAGATTGTTGGAATTGATAGTTAAATTATCTCACAGTCGCTCGTTTAGACATTTATTTTGCCGTTAGTGTGGTAAGTCATTTCTTAAATTCTCCTTGTCAAGAACATATGAACGTTGTTATTATTTAGATTCTAAGAAACATCAAAGATGCTCCAGAAAAAAGTCTTACTTATGACGATAAAGAACATACTCATTTAGTTGGATATTCTGATATTGATTGAGTTACTCGCTCATTAATAGATGATCCATTTTTAAATATTGGTATTTGTTGAAAAAAACTTAATATCCTTAAAAAAGTAAGAAATAAAATGTAGTTGCAAGATCAAACATCGAGGTAAAATATAAGACTAACTTGGTTGAAGCAGTTGCTCAAAGAATTTCAATTTGAAGTAGACCGGACTAACTTGGTTGAAGCAGTTGCTCAAAGAATTTCAATTTGAAGTAGACCGGTGACATTAATTTATGATAGTCAAGCTACATAACATATTGCTTTGAATCAGACGACTGTCACAAATTTAATCAACTCTAACAATCAATTGAAGTGTTTACAAAATCTCTACAAGATCCTAAAACTATTTGATTTATATGCTCGCACAAGCTTAAGAGAATTGTTAATATTTGTATATATAGAATATTCCTTAGTTATTAAAGATGAACTATATATTTTACTATATAATAAACTAATGTGAAAGAGTTTGTGAAAGAAAGCTAAAATTAGACCCTCAATATGGGCGGAAAAAATTATCATGACATACATATACATGTTAAGACCAAAGAATCCATCATTGTGTGTATCCACAGTATCTTTGAACTACAAAACATCTGCTGCTATATTACAAATAAGTACAGTATTAAAAAATATAAGAAAATTTGAATTTCTATTTTTATATATGGCCTCTATTTTAAAGAGGAGCAAAATGCCTCATGAAGAATAAATAAACATGAGCCAAATGAATTTTCTATATTTAACATTAGTTGTCTGTGTGGTATAATTACAAGAGACCTCCAACATGTCGATGTATTTCGCCTTTACCAGTAGCACAAGAGGAGATGCATGCACCTTGATATGACGGCCAGCATGGTCTTGGAAGGTATCGAACCCCAATAGTGCATGCGTGCGTGCATAAACACATGAATTGCATTTGAGTGCAAATTGCATAGTTTGACTTCAGCGAGCTTGAACTGAGAGTAACCATCCTCGTGCGTGTTTATAATATCTATCGAACAGCATCTTTTTTAGAATGCATGTTATTTGCTGCCTTTTCCTTCATGGCTTCTTTTTCTAATTTCTTTTTCTCGGCATCTGCTAGTCTTTCATTCTCCTCCTTGGACTTGTTGAAGGTCTTTACAAAGACAATAAGTATTTGTGTCACTGCAATAATAGCACAGGTTTAAAAGAAGAAGAAAATCTTTGACGTGATTTATGTGTGATAAGCCGATAAAAGCATTATGCGACTATTGCTTTGTGATTTACAATATCAAGGTGCACAAATCAGGCCCCGATAGTTCTAACTAAGAATCCTTATAGGATTAAGGACAACGACATAACCATTAAGAGTTAAAACAAACTAAGAGTTAAACCGGAGTGATAAATAATCCTCAACACCAAATAAGAGTTAAAACAAACTCAGTCCTGAAGAATACAACAGACCTTGTTCAAAGGGGCACCTAGCTGGATCCTCCCCAAAGTATTGGGACAGAGAATCGGCACTTCTTCCCTAAAAGAGAAAATTTCAAAGTAAAAAACGATAAATACGTAGTAGTTGGACTTGGAGAGCGTTCAACTCTTCTCAGAGTATGCAATCTCCCACCATCCTACAAAAACACCCTGAAAAAAGAGGGAGAAAAGATAAACTGTAACAGGACTCACCACATCGGCATACAACGATATAAGTGACCTCACATCAGCTTCGGCGAAATCAAGAAAACTCTTCAACACCTGAGCAGACAAGGGAAACATTACTCATAAAATCATGAGCATGTGCAATCAGTTGTTTTCTTTAATAATTAAACCAACGATTTCCTCATTGGACAAAACAACAAGCTGTATGTATATAAATAAAAATTACCTCGACGCATAGTTCAACAAGAAAAAAATTTCTTTTAATAATCAAATCAAGGATTTCCTTATCGGACAATAAAACAAGTTATATAAAAACAAAATTAGCCCAATGCATGATAATTGGATTTGTGTTCAATGAGATTAGAAAAAAAGAGTCGTCATTTCTCGTACAAACGTATCTTTAGTCAAGAACAATATCTCCTGTTTCGGATAAGTACAAAAGCTACCATTAATATTCATTACCTTGCGAAATCCTGAAGATATAGAACCATCATTTTCAGAAGCAGTGAGTTCTTGCTCAACTTTCTCTAAACCTTTATGCACAGCTTGCATTTCTTCAGCTAATGCTTTTAGTTGGATCTAGATATTGGACGGGCACAAATGAATAAACAGTTAACCTTAGACAAGAAATAATAAAGTGATTGTCTAGCATTAGTGTCAAGGAAAAATACCTTAGAAGCAGCTTCCAAATTGACAAGATCCTTGTCAAAATCGATCAGTTCTGGCATTTTCTCAGCAAGAAGCTAGCAACACAAATAAAATTCTTAGAATTAAGGGAAACTTTTTTTGTAAAGATATAGCATCAAAACAACATCAACGGAAAAAAAAAAGGACAAATTTTTGCTATCTCTGTATAAAATAACATTGAACAAAAATGAATTAAAAACTCATGTATTGGACCAAAAGGGAAAATAAAAAGTTAAAACTCGGATATCATAGAGTTAATATAAGAAACTTAAATAACATGACTATTAATAGAGTTAGTAAAATATTAGTCTCCCAACCATGTTTCTAAAGTTAGCTCTATGATAAAAGCACTGATGATGATAGAGAAACTAAGCAACATGCTCCTTGCCAAAAGTTCGAATACATGAAACAGTAAAATAAGTGAACATTTTTGTAATTATTTGTGAAAACATGTTTAACTAAAAGCAAAAAACACAAACAAACCAAACACTGCCCGAAGTTTTCGATAAACCAGAAGTTACAGCGACAACTTTTTTCAGAATGAAAATGGAGATTCTTGTCTTTCAGATAGTCCACAACTACATTACGATACAATGGTACAATTCAAAATATAATTTGAAGATTTTGAAACACACACCTTACACAAATAATGCATTAAAGTCATTTTGTTATTTCTTGCACGGGTATCAGATAACTTGAGAAGACTGTCCAATTTGAATCCTACTGCTGATCCTGCAATGAACAACATAGAAAATGTAAGCTAAAAGAGCATAATAATACCCATCTTACATTAAAAATACATTCCAAGTATAATCAGATATCATAAAGATACCTCGGGCTGTTCCCTGATTCAAAGCATTGCCCAACGTAAGAATAGTCTGCATTATTTGACGCAATTTTACAGATTCCTTGACCTGTAAGCATAAGTAATAATATAACCAATTTAATGACGCAGGGCAATGATAGTGTACATGTTTGTCAAGTAAGAGCCATTAAACAGTACCTCTCTGGTTGCATCTTTGATTATATTCAAATTTTTCCTTAAATCACTCACCTGGAGAAGCAAAATAACAAGTATTTAAGCATATATCTTAATAGCATGCAAAAATATGCACTAGTAATAACCTAGATAATGTACCTGACCAGAAAAGGTGATTTTAAAAGCAAACACCCTTAACTTGGATTCTACTCGTGGAACCTTCATCAGCTCCATAAAAAACTGGTGAAGATATTAAAGTAAATAATTTGTTAGAATAGACATACAGCAGTTGCACGGATTCATTTACAAAAGGGTATCAAGAAGGAGAGAACCTGCTCACACTTTCCAAGCATATCCTTGTTCCCAGTATAGTTCTGAAAATAGAAACATTTTTAGCCAGGAAATGTAAAAAGACAATTTCCTTCTTCACCATTAAAAAACCAGCTACTTCTAAATTTTAGGTATCTTTTCATATTAATATTCAGTTTCTTCACCTTCTAAGATAGCTTCTCTCCTTTCAAATATATTACAAGAAATAGTCACAGATTGCAGTTCACGAAACATTTTATAGATTATTGCACAAGGGGGGAGAAGAGTACCTTCAGCACCTCCATCTCTTCCTTTGTAGGACAGAACTTGATGAGGTTCTCAACCTGATCAATATCCAGTACACAAGAATCCAATGCCAAAATTGCTTTCTAGAACCAAAAACAAAACCCACAAAAATCAAAACTAGAAAAAATATAAGAAAATAAACCCAGCTAACACCAAATTTACTTTTCATGATGAGAATCTCTTGTCTTAATCTCTACTTAGTTCTTTCAAAACGTTGTAGCAAGACTGATGATGTACTTTATCTCATTCGTTCTACACGCCCTTTTACCTCAAAAAGTATTTTCCTCCTATTTAATTTGTCCTTCTATTTTGTGATTAAAAAAAAAAAGAATCTAATGAAGGAAAAAAGAAAATAGAAACAGAAATATGAGAAATTCTCCTTTGAAATGCCAACCCCACTGGGTATCTTTTTAGAGGGGCGAGTTGAGCATCAACTCACAAAATTGTCCATATTTAACATCAATATCAACACTAATTGGCTACATAGATAAATGAACACTGTAGGACTCTATCTAATTCTATATTTGTGATATGACACAACAGAGAAAAACATCTGAAATAAAGAATGAACAAGTTGGTTTCATCCAGTAAACTACAAGTCCTAAAATCAACTGAATGCAGGGATAGGGGAAACTTACAAGCATATCTGGCAGAGGAATTTTGACTTTGGAGAGCATTATTTCACAATTATATGCTCTACGCAGGTCAACCTGACAGTGAAAAATAAATGAAATTCTGAGCTTATTAGTTCTATATTTCTTTTATCAATCAGATACTAAAAATCAGAAAAATAATTATTAAGGCATCTTAACTCAATTAGGTTTAGAGAGCACATAATAATACTAAGGTGCCATATCCTAAAACCTCTGCAAAGTGCAATGCGGAATAGTTGTTTCAGCAGAAAACTGCATACCCATTCAATCCAATCCAATCCAATATAAAACATATTAGGAATCAAATTTTCTGTACTTGTCCCTTTCTTAAAGGCGTACATTAGTTGACCATAAAAAAATATTTGGATCTTTGGAGACTGCAGTTTTGATGCTTAATGTCTATTAATTTCCATTTTAATAGTGATCCCTAATTATCATTACATAGTATTATAATTATAATTACATATAAACTCTAAGCAGAAAGTAATAAAATAATTTATGCCAATGAGGAGTAGCTTACCAATTGTACTTTCTCAGGTTTGTTAATATTAGAACCACGCCGAAGTCCACCTTTAGTACTATTTCCATCAGAAATAGATGCTGCTGAAAACAGGGTCTCAAGTTCTGATATGTCTATTTCAGGGGCCCTAAAAAAATTTCATTTTTGAAATCAGAAATGCTATCCAATGAAGGGTTTGGGGATGCATACTATCGGTCATTACTAGATTAAACAGCAAGTCTCACAACATTTTCATAAAACAAATCTTTAACGATAATACCTTATAATTATGAAACAAATCAGGAAAATTAAGTCTGATGACATCAGTATGAAAAGTCAAATATCAGTACCTTGAATCACTGCCTTGTTTCTGTGAATCAGCCCATAGACTCCCTTGTGCTGCACGAGAAACTTTCACCCAATGTAGAGGCTTTAATAAAGTTTTCTTAACAGCAATAGCACCAGTACCACGACCTCTTCCCACATTTGTTGTTGCTAAAGAAGCTTTGCCTGGTGGTGGAGGCACACTAGAGGCCTTGCCTGCAGTAAGAGGAGGTGCCAGCAATGAACCACGGCCAGGTGGTGGTGGGGGAGGAGCATTAGGAGGCGTCGGTGCTGGCGGACCCGAACCCATTCGTACACTGGGAGGAGGTGGAGGTGGTGGGGCGGAACTTGTTCGTGCAGGACCTGGTGGTGGTGGAGGTGGTGGGGCTGAACCTGTTCGTGCAGGTCCCGGAGGAGGTGGTGGAGGTGGTGGGGCTGAACCTGTCCGTGCAGGTCCTGGAGGAGGTGGAGGTGGTGGGGCTGAAACTGTTTGTGTAGGTCCCGGAGGAGGTGGTGGAGGTGGGGGGGCTGAACCTGCTCGTGGAGGAGGTGGTGGAGGTGGTGGGGCTGATCCTACTCGTGGAGGACCTGGAGGAGGTGGTGGAGGTGGTGGGGCTGAACCTGCTCGTGGAGGACCTGGAGGAGGTGGTGGAGGTGGTGGGGCTGAACCTGCTCGTGGAGGACCTGGAGGAGGTGGTGGTGGAGGTGGTGGGGCTGAACCTGCTCGTGGAGGACCTGGAGGAGGTGGTGGTGGAGGTGGTGGGGATGAACCTGCTCGTGGAGGACCTGGAGGAGGTGGTGGTGGAGGTGGTGGGGCTGATCCTGTTCGTGTAGAGTTTGGAGGCGGTGGTGGAGGTGGCGGGACTGCACCGGTTCGTACCGGAACTGGAGGAGGAGGTGGAGGTGGCGGGGCAGAACTTGTTCGTCCTGGAATTGGAGGAGGAGGTGGTGGTGGCGGAGGGGTTAAACCTATGTGTGTAAGACCTGGGGCAGGAGGAAGAGGAGGAGGAGGAGGAGGAGGTGGGGCTGATCGTGCAGGTCCTGGAAGAGGTGGAGGGGGTGAGGATGAACCAGTTTGTACATGACCGGGAGGAGGTGGAGGTGGAGGTGGAGGAGGTGGGACTGAATGTGTTTGTACAGAACCTGGAGGAGGTTGGGATGGTGGGATTGAACTTGTTCGTATAGGACCTGGAGGAGGTGGAGGTGGTGGGATTGAAACTGTTTGTACAGGACCTGGAGGAGGCGGAGGTGGGGTTGGAAGAGATGAACCTGTCTGTACGAGACCTGGAGGTGGAGGGGTTGGGGATGAACCTGTTTGAGCAAATCCTGGAGGAGGTGGTGGTGGGGGTGGAGGCAATGGGACTGAACTTGTATGTTCTGGTCCTGGAGGAGGAAGTGAAGACAATGTGGAAGCACTGCTAGCATTGCTGGCCATGCAAGGGGGAGGGGGTGGATGTGGACCAGCAGCATTATCAGTGTTCCAACCAAGAGGAGAACCAGAAACGTGACGTGGTGATGAAACATTATCAGTCAATAAATGATCAGACATTCTTGAAGTGGGATTTACAAAATTTCCACCACTGTTTTCTAAGGCTAAATGATCCAAATCAGGGATGTCAGATGTCCATAATTTTGAAGAATCGGCAGAAGACTTGGGAGTAACATCAAAGGCCTCATCTGAACTATCAGCAACACTTGATTCATTAAATTCTTCTTCAGAGTCAGCTGGCGACGAAAACCAACTTCCTTTACCTTGCAACCTCGAAAACTCCTTGGCATCATTTAAGACATTAAGCTGTCTAAGCAGCCACACTGCCGCTGCATCCCCATTGTCACCCCAATCCACTCCACTAAAAAGTTCTTGAACTCTTGAAAAAGCTTCAATGGGTAATCCACCTCTCTCCTCACCATTCAAAATGGTTGTTTCCGCTGAAGCTCTCTGACAACTTGTGTTTTCAACCTCCCCAAATAAAACCTATATTTAGAAATTTAACAAAATCAGAACAACCAGTGACCTCCCTAGACCAAATTCACAATCATCACAAGTGATAAACAGTTATAATTTGTATACAATACTAGAACACACACTCACCTCAGCCCGGAAGCCTTTCGGATACCACTCCTTAGAATCCCAAAGAATGTCCAAGTTTTCAGCACTCAGCATCAATATATTGGATCGAATAAACGCCGTACTAAACATCACACGGAACATCATCACTTCCCTTTCCGGATCCAAATCCAAATGAACACACTCCAAAACCACATCTCCTTGCACTAAACATTGAATATCAATCTTAATCACATCACAGTCAACCTGAGATTCAAAAAGAAGACAACAAATTCCAACATCAACTCTATTAACCAACAGAATCAACTCAACAAACACATTAAACTCAATCACTACCAAAACACACAAAAACAAAACCACAAACCTGACGATAATGCCTCAAGTGCTTCTTTTTATGCATGTTATAAATCATCTGAGTAGAAGGTCCACCTTTACTAAGCAAATTCCTCCCAAAAATCCTAAACATTGGCCTACATCCATTCGACGAATCAAAACTAGGAATTCCCCTAAGAATAACACAATCCAAAGACAAAACCCTCTCCGGCGGAGGCCACTCAGGAGCAATATTCCTCCTTGCAACATACTGAATATAACGAAGCTGCGAAGGCAAAGGATTCAAAGCCGACAACAACTGCAACAAACCCTTAGGCGCTTCTCTATGAACCATTTCAAGTGTCTTCCGCTCGCCACTATGAACCCTTCTAAAAATCAACAAACACGCCAACAAAAAAGCCAAAAGTGGCCAACCCCCTCTCTCACAATGAAACAAAATCACATTCTGATGGTTACCAAGTGAAAGCCAACTCTCACAAACACGAAGAAAATGCTGAACAAGAGAAAGTGGCAAAAGAGGACAACCCTCATGATTTTTCGGATAATCCATAACAATAACATCATATTCACACATTAACTCAGCGAAATTGCTACGCTTCTCACCATCGCGAAAATTAAAGGCGAGAAACGAAGATTCTGGAAACTCTTCATGTAATTCACTCACGATTTCGTGAAGGTATAGCTCGTACATTCCATCTGACAACGCTTCGGTGGAGAAACACGAATCGAAAACTACAAGAGAAATACAAAAATGAACAAATTCGAAGAAACTTTAAATAATGAAAAGAATTGAATTGGGGAAAATTTTACCGTAAACTCTATGGATGAATTCGAGTAACCCGTCTGGAGGTCTTTTGTAGAAGAATCGACTGAGGAGAGACATGGTAATCGCATGTAGGTTGATCGAAGAAGGAGAAGAAGAATGAAGCTCAGAAAGTGGAGTTCGTAGCTATGGAGTTTAGAGAGAGAGAGAGAGAGAGAGAGAGAGAGAGAGAGAGAGAGAGAGAGAGAGAGAATTTTTGAAATTTGAATAAATTGAATTTGTTATAAAGTTATAATGATTATATTTTCTAACTAATCTGAAGAAAAAGAAAGGTTAACAAAGAAATTTAATTTGATTTTAAGTTTAGTTTAGTTGTTTAATTTGATAGATGGTAATTTACTTAGTTAATTAATGATGTTAAGAATTGTACAACTTCTTACTATAGGAATATTATATTGAGATTAAAATTAGTGGTTGAAAATATGATTTTAATTTGTATGGTTGTGATTTAGTGTTATGTACTAACACGTTCAGTTGTTGATTAACATAAATAAATGTTGTCATGCGAAAATTTTATATCAATTATATTTAAAAAAGATAATAAATAGTAATAAGAATATTTTTATGCGTATTTTTAAAATAGGATATTATATAGTAGTATTTTTCAATTAAAACATTAAATTGTGTTATTTTCTATATATTATTAGAATTTTTATGGTGTTCTTGACAAAAAAAAGAGTCAAGATTCTATAATATAAGAACATTTAATATGAATTGTAAAAGAGCACGCCATGTGACTGTTTCTGCAAGCAATCTTCATTTTCATTTGGTCATGTAAACAAGTTGTTTGGCCACACCACAGTCCAAATGTTTCTCTCAATATAATAAAATATATGTCGTTATTTTTTCCAATGTATTTGGTAAACATTAAATGCAATTTAGTCATGGTATTTGCTTTTTCGTCATCGACAGACGTTTTTTACTTCTTTCAAATCACAAATGTTTTACCATGTTGTTTCTTAAATGTTACGAAGAGAGTGTGCATTACCTCCACCATTCCACTGTTTTTTTTTTCATTTGCAAATCGCTTCAACTGCATTGCCTTCTTTCTTCCCGTTTTTTAAAACAACAAATATATTTAAACCTCATTACTTTGAAAATGGCAAGACCCTTCGAGAACATCAACAACACGAAGAAACTATGAAAGGTGGTTGTTATGGTACACCACAAATGGTATATTCCTATATAGCAAGTTAGCAACAACACCCCCTCACCACAAGTAACCATGTTATGTTAGGTATAAAATTGAGATTGAAGTAGTTCATGCTGGCAATTGTTGTAAGTTTATTTTTTGGGACAGAGAATGTGTTCAACTATTGGGTGTATATGTTGCTCAGATGCACGATACAATGGTTAAGATTTATTCTTCAATGACTTGGATGTATTTGCAATATGGGAAATTTACTAACTTGCTCAACGACATTGCTTAGTTTCTAATACTGTCACCAATTTTTTTTAAGATGGAATTGATGATCCCTTGCAATTTTCGTTAGCACTAGATGTTTTGTTAGATTTAGAGATTTTGCTTTTAAGGTGAAGTGGCAATCTCGGTGGGAGAGTTGCTCTGTTGTCATGATTGTTAGGGATGAACCTTTCATCAAACAGCTTAAGGCTCCATGGGAGCAAATCCATGTATATTTTTTCCATACTAACAATAGTTGATGAATATGTTTATTTAACCTTCTTATAATCCTTATTTGCTTTTGACATCAAGGTCATAACATCTGAGGCAACTGTAACACCACAGTTGTTGCAAGTATGTTCACGTATTATATTTGGTGTAAGTTGTGAATATTTTTTTGCGTTATAATGTTTCTCATTTTTCTTTAAATGTCGTTAAGATTAAAGAGAGTGTTAATGAAGAAAATTCTGAAGTTGCTGATGCAAAGGAGATTTTTACGGTTTCCCTTTAACTAATATCAAGCTCTTTTAATTTTATAGTTATGTTTCTTTCTCTGTTGTAACATAATTTTTTATTGTTGTTCTCAAATTCCAAATATTAGGATCTAGAGATTACATCGAAGCATAACCCACAACTAGTAACTCCCACTACAAAGAGTCTGATACCGGATGGTTCGAGCGAATCTACTACATTGATCAGTTTGTATGATTGAGAGCTTTCATCAAGGAAGCTTAAGAAGATTATCAAACTGGAGACGAATAATTAGTTGAACCATAATATTAATTACTTAGCTTTGTATGTATTATTTAACATTCAGTTTGTTTGGATATTTTGTACATCTTTTATGCTACTACGACAGTTTTCCCCCAATAATATGTTAACATGTTATAGATGTCAAAACTCGACTTATTTTCTATTCTACTCTAATGATGTTTTATTTATCCATATTATATTCATGTAGTTGTTATATTGATTATGCATTGAAGATGTATTATTCCTACGTAACGAGTTTGTATACCACGTCAAATTATGCCTTCACTAAATAATTTGTGTGTGTGTGTCTCAATGCAGAATTGTGTTTACATATTTACTATAACATCTATAATGAGTTGGTATTTATCCCATGTAATACGTTGATTTGTATCCATCTTAATATGAAAGATACATATTATAAGTCATCCCACAAACTTAATGGAAGTTTGACGAAATTTTGTTCCAATGTCCCATTTGAAATCTGTTGGTATGCTTTATTGAATATCACACTCTTTTTTCAAATTGGTTTTATTTTTATTATATCTTAGTCCTATGGTGTATATCTCATTAAATGAAATATTAAGAATGTACAATCTTTATGATATTCCCAAGGCCCTATACTATTATGTATGATGGTAGATATTAAGCCACCATTTTTCTCTGGTGTAACATGACAAGATGTCTACATCTACTAAAAACAATATCTTTTTTTTTTGGGTTTTGTAAATAGTTTCACAAGGACATCTCGTGAAGCTACAGATTTTGTAAATCCTGCTACATATTCAAAACGCCACATGACCACACGGTGAAAGTTTCAAGAACATCAATCATTTCACTCTCAAAGCTATATAGCTTATACTGCCTGCCAAATCTGCCTTCCACGCATGTTTTCTTACTTTTATTTAACTACTACCAAGTACATATCATTACAAGTTAGCACACACTTAATAAATTATATATAAAAATTTTCCCCAACATAATCAAACTAAATATATGAGACTCGTTTTTTTTAAAAACACTTATATAAATCCAAAAATATAATCATATTACAACAAATACATATCAATCCACAACAAAACAATATTATACCAACAAAACCAAACTTTCATTATCATACTGGATTACGCGTATGTCACTGCATATTCCTAGAACATTAAATTTAAATGGAACTTGCAGGATGAATACTACATTGGTGTTCCAACAAATACATCTGCAGCAATGCCATAATACATATTACATTAATCTTAATACTTACCCAAAACAAGTTCCTACTGCATTTCAAACTTAAACTTATAATTACTATTCTACTAAGAACCATACTACACAATGCCCATATTACACAGTCAACAAAAACACTTTCATACACGTGCACATTTTTCATGCATTCATCATTCAGCTCCCCAAGATTTCAAATCAACATTTAACGGTTTAAGATGGACACAACAATTCGTGTAGCCGGAGGCTTGTGAACACTGAATCTCACTGTATCCCCTCTTTGCAGACCTCTATTCTTGGAAAATTCTTACCAACCATGCCCAATGAATTACTTTACATAGTATTGTCTTTCTGCAGTGTGGATTTCACAATCATACACTTCTCATTTGTTTGTGACAACCAACTCAGTTCTACCTGGTCCCCTAACAAAACACACCTTAATCACATGTTGTGAGATTTGTTGCATACTCACATTAACTTCTAGTTATTATATTTATCGAAATTCATAACATAATATAAAAATTGTACTTATATACTATCAAACTTACAAGAACATTTCTTTGAGCACTCTTCCCACAGTTGATTTTCTTCTCTCATACAATATACCTAAGGCAATTTAAAATTAGTTAATATCAAAGTATGGCTAATATAAACTTTTCCTAATAATATATATCATACATTAATATATAATAAAAAATGCTTTTTACCTCACACTGTCTGGAGATGTTGGGATGGGAGGTGGTATACCTACAGATGAGCTTTTCCGCTTCTTCTATAAGAACACAGATTGTTTCTTAGTAATATCTCTATGTTTTGATGATAACACTTATGAATTTTGTATTCAAGAATTATATACTCTAAATTTGTTCTAGACTGTTTGCTACAGGTACTAAAGAAAATATTCTTAAAAGAGCAAATTTGGATCTGAACAATGATATTATGAAAGGCTTCAAAGGTTCAAGAGCATCTTAAATGAAGATCTGAACGCTGCTCCCAGAAGAATCTGAGTGTTGTCTACTGAAGACTCTGAAGCAGAAGCCTCTAAAGAATAGAAGACTCTGAGAGTTCAGAAGCTTAGTCATCAGAAGACTCTGAAGATACTGTGCTGCATAAGTATTAAGAAGCTGATATAAAAGACTCTGCTCTGACAGAACTACACGCTCAAGCACACAAGCTGCATATACTCTGATTCAGCATAATCTGAAGAACATCCTAAGACTCTGAAGATCCAGAAGATCTCTACTCTGGAGATTCTGAAGATCCAGACTCTAATGTTGATAGCTGAACTTACTTAGTGAAGAAGATTTGAATATGTACATTGGCATATCTCAACAGCTTTTTCCTCTTTTATGCTAGACACGAGAACACAGACAAAAAGGTTTTATCTGTGCATTCCATTCTAAGGAAAGTTTCTGCAAAGTAAAAGACAAAAGACATCAGGCTTTTTCAGCACAGCCTCCAATGTGAAGACAAAAGGCACCAGGCTTTTCAGCACAGCCTTCAACGTTGAGAAGACTTCATGGATCTAAGTGCCTATATAAAGAAGTCCACCCCATCTTCTTCAGTAACGAACAACTTGCAAAAATTTACTAAAAGCAAATCTCTCAAAAGTTCTTATATTCTATTTGTTGTAACATTGTTCTTAAACTTAAGAGAAATACCACAGTTGTGATAATAGCTTTTTAGAAGC